AGCTCCAATGCAAGTTACTTCTACGTCTAATTTTCCATATGAAAAAATCTTCTTAGATATTGTAGGACCTCTACCGGTAACAGAAGCAGGAAATAAATTTATTTTAACACTCCAGGACGACCTTTCCAAATTTTCATACGCATTCGCAATTCCCAATCATGAAACAAAAACCATCGCTGACAAGTTCTGTGAATTCATTCTAATTTTTGGATTACCGAAAACTATTGTGACAGACAATGGAACTGATTTTACGACAAATCTACTTAAAGAAGTTAATAGTCTTTTTAAAATTAAACATATTACCACGTCAGTTTATAGACCTCAAAGTAATGGAGCCTTAGAATGCTCTCATTATACGCTAAAAGATTATTTAAAGCATTTTACCAATAAAAGTCAAGACAATTGAGATGTTTTCGTATAACACTCTAGTTCATTCAACTACTCAATTTAAACCATACGAGTTAGTGTTTGGCCATAAGGCAACATTACCCAATAAAATAACAAAAGATCCAGAATTCCACTACACGTATGATACCTATAACAAACAACTTCAGTTGAAATTAAATAAATCGTTTCAAATTGCTAGAGAAAACATTATCAATTCTAGAATGAAATCCAAAACCTACTACGATAAAAAAATTAATGATTTTAATTTTTCGGAATAAGTAAAAAGCTTTTCCCGAATTATAAGGGACCATATAAAATAACAATAATAAATCGAATAACTCGGAGGAGCAGGCTTATCAAATAACACCAATTATCAACCAAGCAGACATCTTTTACCAATCTCTAAGCACCGTAAAATTATACGAAGATTATTTTACTCTCCTTTCGTTTTCAAATATTTCCTTTTCCATAAATTCCAAGTTGTGGAAAAAATAAAAACAATCAAAAAACATATGTCATGATTCCAATCTTGAAAATAATAAAATATACATATGAGTAAAACTAGGTTTGCTTCGATAAAAGACCTGTCTAGTTGCAAGAAGATCGACGACAGACCCAGTTATGTAACGATTTGAGAACTCACCTCCTGCCCAGAACGCAAATTGTGAAGTGAGCCTGAAACTCCATCAAATCAAACAGATCCCTGATGACTGCAACACGAAAACCATAAAAGCCAATTTGGAAATTTACCACAAAATTTTCCAGAATCAATGGCTGTTTATTGTCTCTTCACCTGTTGCAGAAACTCTGTCATGTGATGCCGCGGAGAACTTCATGGAGTTCACATTGACGAAATCTAGCATTTTGAAGCTGAAGCCTCATTGCAAATGCTTCACTCTTTCTACTGTTCTGTCCTCGATTTCAAACCAAACAAGCAACTTCGCCCATTTCGTTCCTGACATCAACATTAATATAATATTGACGACTGCTGTGTCCAAGAAATCGAACAAATGAAGAAGATATCTATGAATCAAATTCATCTAAATAACATAGATCTAGATGAATTACGTCATGCAAAGCACAAACTGGAAATGTTGGAAGAAACTTTGCGACATGAAATCAATAAACCATTTGGTTCCGGATATCACTCAATCTTCATCACCATCCTATCTGTTGCAATCATCTTCATGATCTTGATTGCAATATGTTGCTGCTGTTCCAAGTACCTACTGCTGTAGCTGTGAATGGATACCTTATTTTAGCCGATTTTTCCCCGCAAGAACGGTTGCACATGGAATCAGTATCTACAGTCATGATTAATTGATATCCAACAGCAACATCTTCTTGAATTCCAATGAACCTGTCAGATTTTTACAGCAAATTTCAAGAGCTCGACAAGAACCAGAAGCACTCGAGTTGAAAGCAGTTGCTGGTACCACTAACAAACCAGATGATACTCAGCAATACCGAAACCCTCTGATGCCAAGAGGTAGACGATCAATTTCTAAAGGGAAATAAAATTAATCAATCAAATCAACCCATTGATTTATTTTAACGGGGGCGGAATATGTTATGTTACGCCACTGCTTTGCTGCTATACCACAGATTACCTACATACAGATGCGAAAGAGCGGCGAATTCATGGTTCAAAATTAATTTGATAGAGATAGGCTGGCCGCACCAATGCCGCATCAATGTATTTTGAACATATTTATTAAATAAATGCGGAAGCTCAATAATATAATATTATTTCTTTAATTGGTTCACAAACAGCAAAAAAATATTCTTTTTTACCCGCAAAAATATGTAAACACACAGGCTGGAACATGCTCACGCACCCGGCCACGTTAATTGTCCTGACGCGGGCGATCTGTATCTATGCGACAGGGCGCTGGCTCCCCGGCTTCGTCACAGAATATCGTCGACGGCAAGTATACGTACTTACGCATCTGTATTAGGTGATCTGTGGCTATACTATCGCGCCGCTGACCTGCAACGAAGCTACTACGCTTATTCAGCATCCCGCTTACTCAGCATATAGTTATTAAATTTCCATATTATATTAGCGATTTGATGTGTAATTGTTCAATAAACTTGTTTCTTCTCCCTAAATAAAAGAACCTAACAATTTACTTTAATGAGCTCTAATACATTGGCGTATACAGGAGGGGGCAAAGGGGGCAATTGCCCCCCCCCCCCAGAGCAAAAACCTTCTATTCCTTTTACTTCTTAAAAATATCTCAAATAACAAAAAATTATTTTTTCTACTCACGTGTGCAAAGTTATTACTTTTTAATTACTGAAGTCTGAAGTTGAACTTTGCGCACGGAAAACTCTTTGCGCACTCATTTTTGTTCCGCATATATAATTACCGTATTTATACGAGATCAGTGATTCAAACTTGATTTATCAATGTATTATGGGTTTCTGGATAAACTTATATGCAAGAAGAAGAGCTTGATGTTATTTTTGTTCCAAGAAAGGCTTTCAAGTAATGGTAATGTTTAACTTTTTTAATTTGACACTTTCCCTATGAGGAGCGAGGGGAGGAAAAATCCTGCACAAACAAGTGTGACTAACGATGTCATTGGGTGACGATTGACGTGGGGAGCCACCAACTCCATTCCTTTGGAGTATCAGATCATAAAAGTTGGACAGTAAGTTATACTCCTCCATATACTTCCCAACCTAATGGTGTTGCGGAAAGAATGAATGAGACACCAATGGACCTAGCAAGATCTATGATAATGCAAGCAAAAATGGATAGGATATTTTGGGAAGATGCTGTACTTGTTGCTATGTAAAACTAATTTAAAAAGTTACATGAAAAAATATCATCCTGGTAAGTTCATTCTCAAAATTTGGCAGGAAAAACAAATTTCAAGTAAACCTCGCTAGCACAAATACTGTTGCAAATATAGTCTGATCATTGAAAAAAAAAAAAAAAAAAAAACAGCACATTGAACTAAGAGAGAAAATTACCTGTTTCTGGATCTGGTGACTCGTAGAAAAAGTTTTGTTACTAACACTTGCGCAAAGTGTCTTTCCCGCACTAAAAGCTTATCCGAATTTCACTTCGCGTCGTTCGTCTACCTACTTTTTCGTGCGAGAAAGTAGATACCTATCACTTTGCACACTTGTTAGGAAAATGACTATTTTTATGTAGGTATGTATTACACACCTTTGAACTTAACTATAGTTTGGTTTTGCTCTTTGTGTTATATGTTACTTGTTTCTTGAAAGTCGATTTTTCAGGAAAATAAATAATTTCAGTTATCAACCTCTTATCGCTTCAATGAGCAGCCCAAAACTTCTTTCAGTGGCGGCTCGCAGGCTAATAATACGGAACAAATACGAACAGTACCTTATTTTTCAGTAAAAATATATTTTTTGTCCTATAAAAGTATTGGAAGCGCGCAAATATGCCATCAAGATGTGTGATTTTAAAGACTTTGGGCTCAAAAAAATTTCCGCCTCCGGCAGACCAGCCTCCCCCAGAGCCTCAGGCTGGATACGCTACTGCTCTAATATAACTAAATTCTATTCAGGAGGACTAGAGTATTATATCGGTGTAAAGGTAAAAATAAATGCAATCAAATGACGTGAAAATATATAAGGGTGTGTGGTGTCGCATTAGAAAAAAAAAGTTGGGTAATATCTCGAAAACAAAAATTGAGAAAAAAAAAGGTACGCCACTGGATTCTACGTAAAAATATTCACTTTTCTGATATCTATAATAATAACTAAGATAAAGACAATAGGTAATGGAAATAGCCTATTTTTCAAAAATCCCCTGGTAGGTATACCTATACCTATATCCAAAACGAATGAAGTTAACCGGATTCTGTTTGGGCCAGTGAACTATGCCTAAAAAACCTGTGATATCTGTATCACTTATTTCTTTCATCTATCAGCGTTCTCCCTTTAAACTGCGAAACCAACGAAAATATTAAAAAAAAACGCTTATTTTTGAAGAAAACCCTAAAGTTTGGGTTACCACTTGTATACGGCAGACGGTCACTTTTGACCGTGATGATATGCTGAGTGAAGTGCCATAAATAGTATTGATAAATCAGGTTGACCTCCCATACTCTTTTTATTTAGGGATTATTTTAGAGAAGGGTGCATTAGGCCCCTACGTATCGATTTTTTTTTCGATTTTCTACAGTTTGCAATAAACAATAATCAATTTAATTTTTAATGCAAGTATCCTATAAAATTACATAGGTAGGTACATGCATTTCACGTTGACAGACCACAAGTAACGAAATAAAGCGATATAGAGCACAAAAAATGTACATATTTGACAGCCAGCCAGTCAAGTCAATGCAGTTAAATTGCCCGACAAAAATCAGATAGGTATTCACAAAATGAGTGAGTAAAATTTGAGAGTTGCCTGAGTTGTTTTTCTTATTTAAATTTAATAGGTAGGTACACTTTTTTATAGATAAGAAAATTTCTAATTTTGCATAATAAAACTAGGTACATTTTTAGGCAATGAAGCACATTTATTAAAGAGATGTATTTCATTCCTGCTCCGGTTTTAGCTAGCATCATCTCGCTTATCCGGAAGCATTGCTTCGAAAAGGGAAAAGGGGTTTGTGTCGTCCCGACGGCAACGCGTCGACGTCGTAACGCCGCGTGAACCGGCAGCAGCAGCAGCAGTAGCAAGAAAGAAAGAAACACAAAGTAAACACACCCTGCTTTTGGACTTATAGCTCCGCTAGAAGCTCGCAGCCAGTTGTTTGTTTCCTCCAAGTGGCATCATCATCTGGTGCGTAGCTTTAATCGCGCGAAGTTTGGCGGGATTAGCGACCGACGCCTTTTTTGTTTACGACCAGTGTTTTGTTTCGTGTGTGGCAGACCATGCAGTCAATTTAATCGAAACCCTAACTCTCCTTGTTTGTATAAATTTTGTTCCAGAAAGGATAACTTAAGGAGTTTTCGATCCTGAGAGGATGCTGAGAGGATAATGGAGAGAGCGGATCGTAAAAGGTAAGGTTACTGGGTTAGTAAGGGGTGGGGTTGGATTTTGTATTTACGCTGCGCGCTGTGAATTGTAACTTCTTTGTTAATTTCAACAAATTATTTCATTAATGTCATGTTTTATTTTTACTTGCCATAATATTTTTTTTTTTCCTAATTGGGCCTTATTTCACTTAGATTTACTGTATGTGAAATTTCAAGTTATCAATGGCCGTTTTTTGCATAAAGTTAAAATTGTGGTATCAAACTCAAACAATGGAGGTAGTAATTGAGGCCTCCGCCCCGGACGTTACAATGGGGAGCTCTTAACGGATCTCATCCTTATTAATCGCGGTTTAATTTTTAATTCGTTCCAAATTAGGCTAGTTGTTCTGATTACAATTGATGGGTTATAAGTCTCTTCGTTTTTCGACAATTTCCTAAAATACTTACTCAAGTAAAGTCTTAAGAGAATAATTGACAAGCTTCATACAAAAATTGAACATATTTCTTATAAGCTCTAATAACAATTGGATTCTCGGAAAATATATCTTCGTAGCGCGAATAATAATTTATCATCGTTATATTGAAAAAATCGGCTCTCGGATTTCTTAAGGGATTTTCCATACCGGCTAGAGGCAATAAACTTCAAAGTTTTATATCCTCGCCGAGGAGGGAGTGAATAAGAAGGATATACTAAACTAGGGCATACATAAAAAATTTAAAAGCCTACCTACGTCAAATACGTGGACCGTGGTTACTTACATAAAAGGAAAAGGGATTCGTTACAGGTGTTTGTGATTGGGTTTTAATGACCTCAATAAATGTTTCAGTGAAAACCGAAATAGAAGGCAAGGTACCTAATTTATCGACGATAATTTAAAAATAAGCACTCAAATCAAATACAGAACTATATAATATTCACCTTCCATTTTAAAAGCTTTTAATAAAAAGTTGAGAAAGAACGCATCGAAGCATGTGTTTTAATGAAGGTCCTAATAAAAGTCAGACAGGAAATATACTCATTAATCAGTCGGACATAATTATGGGGGTAGATGCTTCTTTCTGTTGCCATATAGGTACCTATTGGATATTCATATGCTATGAATAATTTTGCTTCTGAAGTTTCCTTTTGTTTGAAATGCATCCATAATCATGCGGAATCTCCGCTGCTTTCCGAGTGCTAAAAATTTTATGTGACCCAATTCTGTGTTTTCTTTAGGTAAATAAAAGTCACATTTTGAAACGTTGCGCCTTGTTGATTTCCCTTTTGAGAGAGATTATTTCGTCTGGTATATTTTGAAAAAAAACGTTGTTTCGATATTTCTTAGGAAACATTTCATTGAATACAGAAAATGCAGGGTGCTTTAGAAGATACCCGCGTGGATAATAAATATATTTTTTAATAGTTTTTTGGAAAGTGTGTATAACTATGTAATGAAATATGAGTCTGCCTAATTGGAAATGTAAGCTAGAGCAATTGTGAAAATTTGGCTTTTTTAGTTCAGTAAAATATCTATATTTCATCAGGAACTAAAGAACAATAGTGCGTAGACCGAGAAATATCATCAGAACTCCTCTAATATCAATTACAGGTGCGGCATGAAGTCAGCACCCCTAACCCCTATTTCTGATTTTTGAAAAATGTCAACTTCTACTGGCAGAACTATTACTGCAACCCACTAACTATAGTATACGTGGAAGGAGAAATGTCATCAGAACTCCTTTTTTTTTCAACCTCTACTGCAGAACTATTACTGCAACCCTCAGGGGGGACTATAGAACTTCTTCCGAAAAGGTATAAGAACTCATGAGTTGAGGGTGCTATGATTTAGGGAGTTCACTATTCATGGGTTCAGACGATACTATATTGTATATTCACTATATTCAATAAATTAAACCTTTTAAAACCGCTCTTGATTAAGATGTGATTATTATGGCGAGTATACTGGCCAGTCAACTTTTTTATGTATACTTTGGAATTGAAATTTGATTTCCACTCGCGTTATGTATCTTTTTTTTTTCTTTTTCTTCAAATTTACCGCCTACTTGATTTCCGAGCTACCCACATAACAAAATTGCATCCTTAGAATGTATTAAGAATGTTCTTTTTTTAGGAGGAATGTGCCTAGAATGTTCGCCAAAACCATTGCGAATGTCCTGAGAATGTTCTGAGAAAAGATTGTAGAAATACTGTTTACAATACCCAAGAACTTCCTGGGAAATCCATTAGGATATTCATAGAATATACCTATGAGATTCTCAGTACGTCCTTAAAAGAATATTTCTGTTTGATTCTAAAAATATGCTCGAAACATACCTATATTCTCACATTCGAAGAATGTTTCTATGACATTATAGTTATGTTCTCAAAAGAATATTATAGCAATATGCTTGAAATATTCTTAGAATATATCTACATATATCATTCTCAATATGCATCCTAGACATAACATTCTTGTTTGATTCTAAGAATATACTTGGAATGTTCATTTTCGCTTCCAAATAATGCTCGTTTCAGCCCTTTTATATTAAAGGCAGTGAAAGAGTTGTTGGAAAACTTCTGTAGAAAACACGAGTATTTAACCAAAGCTCCGGTTTCGAGCTTGTTATGCTCTCGTCGAAGCACGCCAACTGAGAGAAACAGGTTCCAAGGTGATTCAAATGCGAGGCAAGATGTAGATCTTTAATAGCGCGTCGCTCCCTCTATTGGAAGGCATACAAAGCAAAAGAAAAAGAATATACCTATAATATTCTTAGTAGGTTCTAAATAGAGCATTATTGTTTAATTGTACAATTAAGATTTTTGAGTAGGTACTTTAGATAATTAGGTGAACAATATGAAAATATTCTTATCATGGTTACCTATCTACATAAACTTCTCAGCACAACTTGGTAGGTATATTCTTAATACTTGATAGAGATATTAGCTTAAAGAACATTTTCTAGGGTACATTATAATAATGTTCGTATGAGAATATTCAAATAATGTTATATAAAGTAGGTTCTTAGCACAATCTTTCAGGTAGGTGCATAGAAGCAACATTCCGAGTACATAAATAGAACGTTCAAAAATGAATATTTCAATCGAAACAATCTTAGAATATTCATTGAACATTCCTAAAAGAACATTCCAAAAAGTACTTTGAGGGAATATTCTGAGAATATGAATGTTCTTTCACTGTTATGTGGGTAGTGGTGTACCTGATAAGTTTATCACCTAGCTTACAACAATGGACTTGTCAGCATGACATTGAAAGCAACTCATAAAACATAAGACCTCACCAATTCGGTTTTCAATAAATAGAGCATTGAAAAAAAAAAAAAAAATGCATGCATGGGGATATCGGAAACCGTAAGAGATACGAGGTTGGTTAAATTATGGCAAAGTTGCGCAATTTTATGACCAATAAAATTCCGTTTTGAAATTTGAAAAATTCCGAATACTTCCGAAGATATTCGGAAAAAACCGAAATTTTGCAAAATCATTTTTATTTTTTCCTGAGTCTATTTGAAGAGCAATTTCAAAATAAATATCACTTCATTGTCACTTTTTTCCCTTTACAAGATGTTGCTACCAAATTTCAGATTCGACGTTTCGTCTTTGGGCGGCCATCATCAACTTCGTTTTTCTAAATACGGGCCCGGATTTTTTTATTTCAGATTTGAAGAGTTTCTGATGTCCCAAAAGCAATAAGATATTGCACTTATTCGAAAAATTTATTTTATTGGCACTTTCTATAAGAACTTAATGTGTTAGAGAGAGACAGAGAAGAGAATTTTGGTAGGAAATTGCTAAAAAGTAATAAAAATAATTTTTTCTACGAGTGTGCGCAAAATGACTACTTTGCGCGAGAGCCCTATATATGTTGGGGCGGAGCCCTATATTTGGTTGTGAGAGCCCATATTTGGAGGGCGGAGCCCCTTTTTTGGGGGGCACAGCAAAGCCCCGCGGAGAGAGGCTGAAATTTTTTTTGGCCGATTAGTTTCAGGTAAAAAAGTTTAAAAAATATCTAAAATAAAATTTGAAGCTGTAATTTTGGAAAATGATAAGGAAATAGCAGATAATTTCAACACTTATTTTGTAAACTGCATTAGAGACTTAAATAGTGAAATCAACAAAAAATGTAACGGGTTTAGATTTTGTGTTGGAAAGAATGTCACAAATTGGTTGTTCCTTTGACAGCTTTCATTCAGTTGACTGGGAAATGTTATCCTTGAAAGTTTTAGGCATGGGGAAGGGCTCCAGTGATCAAGACGGAATCGACTTGAACACGCTTAAATTAGCGCTTGATATTGCAGGAGAATTTTTCCTAGATTTGATAAATACATCTCTATCACAGGGAGTTTTTCCTGATGCCTGGAAATGTTCCACTGTAGTCCCAATCCAAAAGATCCCAAAATCAATACTTTGTTCAGAGCATAGGCCCATAAACAATGACCAGTTTATGAAAAGGTTTTGGAATTGCTGGTGAAGGATCAGCTGCTTCATTATTTGGATAGAAATAATATTTTGGTAGAGCAACAATCAGGATACAGACAAAAACATTCATGCGAAACGGCTTTGCAGTTTTTGATATCAGGTTGGAAATCTCAAATACAGAAGAAAAAAGTCATTGGTGTAGTATTTTTGGATCTAAGTAGAGCTTTTGAGACAGTAAACATTGATCTTTTGTTACTAAAACTGGCAAAGTATGGTATTCGAGGCATAGTACTAAAATGGTTCAAAGGATACTTAAGTGAGAGATTTCAGAAGGTTCAATTTAAAAATGCCAATTCCAATAGCATAGGCATAGATCAAGGGGTTCCTCAGGGTTCAGTATTGGGACCTATTCTTTTCCTGTTGTTCATCAATGATATAGTTCTTCATGTCAAACATTGTCAAATAAAATTATTCGCAGATGACACTTTGCTTTATTTTGTCTGTGATATTGATGAAATAACATTAATGGAAAAACTGTTAAACAAAGATCTTGAAAATATTGATGTGTGGCTCATAGAAAATGGTTTAAAACTAAATGTTGCAAAGA